TATATTAATATGAATATAGATAGATAGATAGATAGACATTTAAATATTTCTTAAATATATACATGTAGCCTATGTGGATTGCCCGTCCAAACTTGATCAGCATCATTTCAAAGACCTTAGGCCCATCCAGAAGGAGGGTCCCACCCTGAGTGTAGTGTGTGCAGATCTCATGTCCTATAGGAGGAGGGTGTGGGGGTGTGTTCTCTATTATAGAAAAAGAAAGCATAGCAAAAAGGTTTTAGATCCATTTGAAAGTGAGATGATATGATTAAATGACATGGCAAAGCACTGAAATATGAATTTTTAAAAAATGCCTAATGCTGATCATTGTGATAAAGACTAGAAGGTAAATAGGGCTGTATGATCTCCAATGAAAAGAAAACTGATTGGACACCACGTTGAGAATTCACCAGTGCAGCCAGCAGGCATAGGCTCAACACTGCCACCAGATGGCCAAATTGTGCCATTGTTGCAGATATTTTGCAAGAACAAGGTTGAGACTCAAATGAGGAGAGACTGTAAAAGAAAAAAAAATGTAGTTTTGTGATTTTTAGTCCACGTGTGTCAGCTTTAAGATCATTTGTATGCTAGTACGGGGATCCGTTAAAAAAAGAGAGAGAGAGAGAGAGACAGAGAGAAAAATTTTTGTAAACATTATTTTATGCTTGTCAAAGTTAATGTATTAACTTAAGATATTAATTCTTTGCTCTAAATATATTTTATGCTTGTCAAAGTTAATGTATTAACTTAAGATATTAATTAAAATGTTTGACACATTTTTATTTAGTTGATACTATTTTTGTTTAATTCTACTAATCATGACATTTAAAAATAATGTGTTCATCTTTTCTTTCCTTACGTATAAGAATAGTTTCAGAACAATAATTGTTGTGAAAAGCATTATTCAAAATATCAAATTCAGCCGAAAAGGTTTTTCATCAGGTTTATACATTTAACAGTTTATAAGTTTATAAAAAAATATACATAAACTAACAATAAATGTTCTCCAGATAATATTGTAGATAATTTGCTATCTTCAGCTTTATATTTTTTTATGGGTCTTACTACAGCTACCTTTATATTTGAGTAAATAACATTTTAAGAAATGTTATATGATCGTGAGATGAACGTTATCTGCATTATTTCCTCTTCCTGTTTAAGTCCTGCTATTAGTTAGTCTTTAGTTACAACTTTAAGGTTACCACGGCCAGTGGTGGACAGTAACGGAGTAGTTTTACTTCACTGTAGGCCTACTTAAGTAAATTTTTCAAGTATCTGTACTTTACTGGAGTAGTTTTATTTTGAGTAACTTTTACTTTTACTTCACTACATTCCAAAGCATAAGATCGTACTTTTTACTTCACTACATTTCATAAAACATATAGTTACTCCTTATAATATATAGGGTTGGGTACCGAAACCCGGTACCAATATGGCACCGGTACCCATGTAACCGGTATGACCTAGAACCAGATTAAATAAAATAACTCATGCACATTCATTTCCCCGCTGCTGTAAATAAGTCAATGTTAGCTGATGCTAACTGTCTAGCTAACGAGCTTGCTGGTGCTAAATTGAGGTAATTTTTTTTTTAAATAAAGTCCAAATATTATAATTCAACTACCTAGTTGATTACATCTGAGAGAAAAAGAAAGGGTGTGATGTTCAGAACATGGTAACTACAGTAATTATCAAAGTGGGAAGTGATGCCCTCGGGGGGCATTTGGCCAGGGGTGGTTTTATACCACAGACAAGGTTTGAGAAGAAAAAAATCATTATGAAAATATAATGATATTTTCCTTATTATATTCATTATTTCCTTATTGGTTATTTTGGTAAAATCCCAGGTATTTTGAGCAATAGGATTATAAAAAAATATATGCTAATATAAAATTAAATGATAAAAGTAGCCTATATAAAACTGCAAAATAAATATTCATCTATCAGTACTTTTTACTTAAGTACATAAAAAATCAAGTACTTTTGTACTTTCACTCGAGTAAAATTGAAAACTGAGTACTTTTACTTTTACTGGAGTAATATTTTATTATATGTATCTATACTTTTACTCAAGTACTTGATTTGTGTACTTCGTCCACCACTGACCACAGCAATCTACAGTCATACACAGGACCAAACCTGACATATAAGTCAATTTCATATAGCCTAGAGACAATAAGCCTAGATCTAGAGATTATAGAAAAAAAACATTGCAAGATAAATCTGTTTTTGGGAACAATAAGCTGGTATTAGACTCTCATTTGGCCATTGAATACTCAGTGGCTGATTCCAGTTATCTTTCCATCAATGTAATACAATCATTTTGCAAAGAATGTGAACGTGTAAGTCTTTTTAAATGCTCAGTGAAGTGTATTGAGCTGTCTATCCGGTTGTGCAAGTTTTTGTTAAACGTAAGATACCAACGACAGTGACAAAGCTCATGTGGGTTTTCACATGCTGCAACACTTGTCACTTTCTGGTAAATATTGATAAAGTGAAAGATTTAAAAGGATAGTTCACCCCCCAAAAATGAAATTTCTCTTCATTGCTTCTAACCCATATGAATGTCTTTCTTCAGTGAAACAAAAAAGATGTTTGGCAGTGTGACAGTTTCAGTCACCATTCACTTGCTTATGGAAAAAAGATGCAATGAAAGTGAATGGTGACTGAAAGTGTCTTCTTCCTAACATCTTTTGTATTTGACAGAAAATAGAAAGTCACACAGGTTTGAAACCACATGAGGGTGAGTAAATTATGACACAATTTTCATTTTAGGGTTGAATGTACTGTATATTCTTCATTTACTAAAAATTAAGTTCTATTACTAAATTAAGTTCTAAACTAGTCTGGGATGACATTGTAGCCATTTGAATTATTTTTTAAAATAGATGACAAATTATTAGAAAGTGTCACTTCAGCATTAAAATGTAAAATCACAACATATCAATATATAGAGAGAGTTAATCAAAAAGCATACAAAAAACAGGACTGACAGACAGCGTTTTTTACCAGAGCAGTTGTTTTACTTTCACTTTATTCACTTGACAATCTATGTGGGACTTTCTGCTCAAATATTCACATCATATGAAAGGAACCTGCTAATAAATTATAAACTACCATAGTAATGTGCTTGTGTCGCAATAAGTAGTTAGCACTCATTTTTGCTTTACAGTTTGCGACAGCCGCATACGTAGATGCATAGATCCTTGTAAGTTTTGTGTGCAATAGGTTGTAACACCAAGGAGCACAATTATGGTGAAGAAAAACAATTTGTTTGTCCATTTTGACGACGATTTTTAGTCATTTCTCAGTCATTTAGTCTTCAAGTACATCAAAGTGCTTAACAAAGACTACATGAAACCAGTTAAGCTGTGTATTTAGTTCATTTAGAGAAAGCGAGAGAGAAATGCTTTTCCATTCACATGTACTTCAGTTATGACCTCTGAACCTCTAGATGGTTTACTGGGGTCATACTTTCCCATCAAAATGTATATGTGTCTGTTTCATCCCTTGATTCTGATGATACGTCTGATGAATATGACGCACTCATGATGATTCAAAAATCTTTCATAATTCTGTTCTGAGAGCTTAAAAAATATCATCTGTGCAACATTCCCATGGACAGTGGTGGATGAATTACCTGAAAGCCACACTTAAGTAAAAGTACAGATATCTTACCAGAAAATGACTTTGGTTGAATTTCAAAGTCACCATCTTAATATTACTTGATTAAAAGTTTTAAAGTATGTGATATTTATTGTACTTAAGTATGAAAAGTATTTTTTAAATATTAAACATAATTATATTGAAAGTACAAGTACAAGTAACTGCAAAATGGAAAAGGAGCAAAGAAATATTTAAAAGATGTTTATACACAGTTTGAGCAGCAAGATTGTGTTCAGTTTGAACTCTTTCTTCCATTTTATATCTCTGGGTAAGCATAAGAGGCACTTCATTTGGTACTTAGTCTCTTTCATTCCAACATAAGAAAACATCATGGCACTTTATTCATGATTAACTTTATATTGTATGTTACTTGTTTAGTTACCACTGTTGTTTGACAAGATAAAGAGAAACAAACCTGGGTATCCCACCTAAACTCTAGTATGATCATGTTAAAGGCCTCTGACATGTTCAGACGGCTGGATGTGCAAATGTCATCATCACGACTAACCTCATTTGGAAGTTCTGCCAGACATAGAGAGCAAAATATTGTTTTCAAAAGATAAATGACAGAAATATCCAAAGGCAAAGCACTGAAATTGGCATAAAATGCTGTTAATTGCTAACAAAATTAGATGAGAGCAATGATCACAGCAGCCAGCAAGCACAGGCTCAATACGACTAACCGCTGTCCAAATTGTTCCATTATCACAGATTTCTTGATCAGCAGATAATTATAAATGATAATCTGGACAAATTAACCTGTAATGGACCAGTAAAGACTGTAAGAGAGAAAATGAGATCACAGTTTATGTGGAGAACAGCAGAAAGATGAGTGAATCTTACCTGAATCTAGTCTGGAGAGAAACTGCAATGCACAAAAACAAAAAAAGATGGTTTTATCTATTATTTATCCAGTATTTATTACATAAAAATATTAAACCCAGGGAACCAGAAAGACAGAGAATCGGGAAGTATTTTTTGCAGTTAACTTCCTTGAGGTCAGTCTACACAGACCATGTTTTTGCGTAGAGCAGTGGAATTTGGAAAATTGCAATGTCTTAAGACACTTTTTTTATTTTTTTTTATTTTACCTTTATAGTGCAGCAGCCTTTTAGAACACTGCTTCATATGCGAGCGCAACAGTCAAACATGTTAAAAACACATGTAAAAATAACAATGGAGAAGCAGAACAGTGGAATGCAAAAATATGTTCTGTGAAAACATTTCCTTATTCAGGGTAAAAATCAAGGGGCATGAACATAATACAAGTGAGAAACGTTGATGCTTTATTTCACTTCAGCAATTAGTGTCTTTTACAAACATTTAGCCAATTTTCCAAGGACCAGCATGTTTAATAAATGCTACATAATATCCTCAACATCAATATAAATTCACACAACGAGACCTGAATCTGCAACAATGCGTCCAAACAGCAGAAAACATGGCCAAAACCAGAGCTTTCAGCAACTGTCTTTATTGCAATAACATATCACACACTCACACACACACACACACACACACAATAAATACAACTGACATTCAGTATACAATTAAAAAATTTCCTTTTAACAACACACACTCCAATGACTGACAGTTGCACAGTCATAAGCAGCATCCATTTCTGAAATTAAACTTCACCCACTAATTTGTTCTCACCATACCCAGTCCGCAAAAAGAAAAAGAAAAAAAAACATGACCATAACATAAAAAGCCTAAAAGACGTATGAGGTGTGTCAGACTGTTTTGTTTTGGAGATTATTATTTAAGACATTCAAATGGGAAAGTGGGTTGTGTAACATTAGAGCAGGCACCTGTAGAGATCTCACAAAAGCAGGTTCTTTTCATTACACGGTTGTTCTTTTAGTTTCGCTTACTAAAGGCTTCCATCAGCCTAAGGCCCAAACAAACCAAACAGACAAGGTCTCTATGCACAGGACATGTACTGACACCAATACAAAATGTCCAACCAAATGTTTCACATCTTGGTTGAACCTCAAAGTAGCAAGACAATTCAAGGACATTGGGAACTACTGTGGATTTGAATTGCAACGTGATCACATTTCAAGGCATTGCAGCATTCCTGTAAGGAGCACATACACTGTTAATAAATAAATCAAGGTTTTTACTATTAGCACACCCATAGTGGGCGGTGCGCATGCTAACAATGCTGGAAAACGAGTTTGAAAATAGCGAGGAATCATTTGCTTTTACAAGAATGTTCAAAATGAATGTGTTATGAGTGAACCTGAATCATACATGATTTTAATTTTTTATTTTGTGGCCATAAAAACACACAATTCCTCGTTATTTAATATTGACCTACATGTTGTTAGCATGCTACATGTTGTTAGCATCCATAACCACTTTTTAATGTCTATCCTTTGAAATGAAATTAATCTTAATATAAAATAACATCAATCATTGCATCATTAGCTACGAAATAAGCAGGTAAACAAAATCTATAGAAAACGATAAAAGAAGATTTGCTTAAAGGTGCTGATTTGACTAGTTTCAAAGCGATCAGACGGTTTAGTGACCCGCATCGGTGGCACGTGTTTGGATGGTCACTCTTCTTGGTGGGTTCTGCTCTGTACTGCGATTGGCTATTAGCTCTTGCAGCTGCAGAGCACCTCCACCAATAAAACAGAATGCTGGGCAAACAGGGGCGGAGCAATCAACAGTCCCCTCCCACAGCACTCGCAAAGAGTGTGCGTCGTAAAAAGTGAGCCGCCCCTTCTCAAAGTCCAGACACAGTCCGAGGCGAGGTGGTAAGGGGGCAGTGAGGGGGCCAGTAGAAGTGTTAGACACCCCACATTTGGGTAGTAAGATCTTGCCCATGCCCATTGTGAGGAAACAGAATGGAGGAGGACAGTCCTGGGTGTCCTCTGCGCCACTGTCATGACCACTATCTGGATCGTACCTATGGAGAGAAATATAAGGAAAAAGATAAATTAATCAATAATATTGCCTACATAAGTCATCGTGAGTTAGTCAGCTCTTAAACGCTTCAAAATTTCTCCTCACCGTGGACTTGCCATGTCTTGTGGAAGATGGAACCACTCCTGCAGTTTTGCTTCAACACCCACTCCCACCTACACACAGAGAAAACAACTCGTTTTTAAAATTCACATTTTTAGATTTTTTTTTGTATGAATGTGTATCCATTTTAAAAATCAACATATTTTATTACATAAAAATATATTATTATAGGCTACTAAAAATGCATTTCATAAATATAACTTGAATATACTTCTATTAGGGGTTGCACCGACTAATCTACTAGTCGACTTCAATGCTTTGCCATGAGCTTTAAGCTTGACGTCGTCTAGTCGCTGGTCCTATAGAGGGCGCAACGGGATAAGAAATCTTTGAAGGACTTCTACATTTACGCTCAGTTTCCAAACAGTTAAAATGACAAATAAATGCATACTCTGAAAGCGCTCCACAAGACATATGTGATTATATTACTGGATGCTCGAAATTGAACAGGAGAATGCACGTTTTAACGTACACAGTGTTGTGCGGAATTGGGCTACTTTAACACTGTTGCCGTGGTTTGTTTTTCATGTCCACGGGTTGAAGCGCCCCCAATAACGTGATATTCAGCCCCTGGAATGCAAATTTTACAGGAGGAACCCCGCCGAAAAACGTGTTTTTGTGTGGAATAAAGTAAAAAAATGTCAGAACGATACAATGAAGAAAAAGCCTAATTCAAAATTTAATTCTTGATAATAAAACCATATTCAGTAATTTGGCGTACTCTTTCATATTACTTCACAGGGGGGGAAATGAAATAATGAAAACACTGTATATTATCAATTTTTGCAAAAATCAGTTATACACTACTGCTCAAATGTTTGGGGTGGGGTTGGTAAAAATTTTAATTGTTTTTGAAAGAAGTCTCTCATACTCACCAAGGCTGCATTTATTTGATCAAAAATGCCATATAAACAGTAACGATTTGAAATATCACTACAATTTTAAATTAATAATAAACTTTTCATATTTTAAATGTCATTTATTTCTGTGATGCAAAGCTGAATTCTCAGCATTATTAGTCCAGTCTTCAGTGTCACTTGTTCCTTCAGAATTCACTCTAATATGCTGATTTGGTGCTCAACAAACATTTTCAATATTGTTGAAAAAAGTTGTGCTACTTAATATTTTGTGGAAACTGTGACATTTCTTTCGGGATTCTTTGATCAATTTGAAAGTTCAAAAGAACAGCATGTATTTGAAACCGTAATCTTTTGCAACATTATAAATGGCTTGACTGTCACTTCTGATCAATTTAATGCATCCTTGCTAAAATACAAGTACTAATTTCTATGTTGACCTTAACCAGGTAGGAGCCAGGCTCCACTGAGCATGCCCAGTAGTGTCGTCCCTGTGTGATGGAAACATCAGCCACAAGGAGGTCAGAGGTGAGGTGACATGAGGTAAGAGCCCGATCAGCAGCCTGCAACAGAGTCATCCCAGGAACACTCCGGGCGTATGTCTGCCCTTTTCCCAGCGCCACCCGCTCCGCATGTAGGCCCCAGCGCGAATCCAGGCAGAACGACAACACTGAGATTGAGGTATGCAGGAGAAATGGAGTGGAGGAGAGGGTTGGAAAGGCCAGGTCATAGGGAGCAGAACACAAAATGAAAAGAGGATGAGGAAGTGAACATATAAAAAGGAACAGAGAGGGGGGATATGTATGCATAAGTGTAAAAAGGAAGAAATGGGATTGGAAGAAAAGAGGGGAAACAGAGAGGACAGCAGGAACATTGTACATATTCCAGGACTCTAGGATTCAGAGGAGATCAAGCAGCTGATATATTCCAGTTAAATAGGAATACAAGTCCAAGAAACAGCAGAGATAACAGGAGCAAAGGAAGGTGGAGAACAACAGGAAACATAAGGAGAAATAATACAGAGATGAGAGCAAAAAGAGACATGTCAGAGAGTTGTGGATATGCATGGAGAAATATACTACCGCAACAGAATTAATTGTATGAGAGAAAATGCGAAAGAGAAAATATGATATGCATGTAATAAAACAACAAGGTTCAGTTTGATAGAATTGTGATATAGATGGGTGAATGAATGGATCAATAAGTCAATGGCTAGATGAATTAAATTATATGGATTGTTAGATGTATTAATCATTCAATAAATAAATGAATATGATACAGATGAATCGATGACAAGTGAACAAACATGAACAAAAAGGCAGATGAATGAATGAATAATTCCGTGTGAATGTATCAATTGATAGGTAAATGGAGGATGGATAAATATCAATAAATTAATGCATGAAATAATGAATGAATCAACGAATCATTCAATGGATGGATAGATAGACATAAGCAAACAAAAATAAAAAAATACGCGAATGAATGAATGGAAGAATAAATAAATGGATGGATACATAAATGGAGAAAATAAAAATAGAGGATGCAAATTGTAAGTCGAAGAAGTAGAATGAGTGGAAAATATGCAATTATTTTGCATCTTCAATAATGTGAGAAACTGAGGAGCTGGAGGAAAATAATTTGACTCTGGGTAACTTATATTTTAAAGGGGTTCAAATTCAAGTGCGTATATATTTGTGTGTGGATGTGTCTTACCTGGTGCAGGAGGTGTGTGTAGATACACCTCCTCACTGTACTCTCCAAACCCTGCCTTATTACAGCCTCGAACTCTCAGGACATACACACTGTCCATCTCTAGCTTATCAATCACTGCACTGGTCCCGCCCACATCATCGAGACGCTGCCATGAACAGTGTGTGTCATTACTTCCCGAGCTTCCTTCAGACAAGACTCTGCCCCATAATGCTCCAGCTCCGCCCACTTTCCTCAGATACTCCACTGAGTAGTGCCAGGCAGGGGCGGAGTCCTGTGGGAGACGCCAGCACAAATAGAGCTGGTCATAGGCCAAGGTCTTTTGAGTGTCAATCACAGGAGCCAATGGGGCTGCAGAAGGAAAATAAGGGGTTGGATTAAATGTGAATTTAATTCATTATTGTATTTGACATAGAAAAGCAAGTTTTTATGAAAACCTTGTATAAAGTCCATGCTGCTGAGCGCTTTGAGTTCTCTGGAGACGTCCATCTGAAAGTGTCGGAACGAGGGATCAGCAGATAGAGAGAAATGCTGTTGATTTTCTATTGCTTTTACCAGTCTGAGGAGAAAAAAAAGAGATAAAAATCAAGTTACGTGAATATACAAAAGCTTTCTTTATATCAAGTGATCATATGTAACATAATATTCCCACGTTTATTTTGTGTTCCTTTTGAAAATGTTTCTATGGAAACACACAATAGGCTATTGTGTTTGGATTCGTATTTCATAAATGACCAGATTTGCACAATCACAGCAACCCACACCCACAAACATACACTCTAACCTGTTGTGCGTGACTCTGGCAGCCTGCACAAAGCACGACTGGTCAGTTTCCTTAAGCAGCTCTTGAGTGTATGTGAGCAGCCCTGCGTTCTCCAAAAGACTCTGTTTTTTAGAGAGCTGTGCATTCAGAGCCCCTGCCCGCTGTGCACGAGCCCCTTCCAGCAACATGGCTAAGGCCCCCTGACGCTCCGCCAGCACACTGCGCAATTCACTCACACACTGATTCAACTGCTCCTTAGCCACTGCGCTGTTCACCTGAACACAGAGGTACAACGATTAAACAGGATAGAAGAAGGGAATAGCGAAGCTTAACTGTAAATTTCTTTAAATATATTTTTTACTACATATAGGAGGAGACCTCTCATTGTGGCTTTTTAAATGTCATAAATATTTTAATAATTTAATTTAAAATTTTACTTTAATTTTTTTAATTTATATTTTAAAAGTAATAGCTGTCAAAATTAACACGTTAACGTATGCAATTCATTTTTTTCAATTTGAAAAAAATATTTAATGCACGGGCAGAGCTAGGGGTTGGCCACCCTACTCACAACTGGTGCTTCCGTCTCTTTTTTCTTGAAGACAATTGCGTTTATTTAGATGCAGAACCTCTTTACGACCACATCAAATGGGAGACTTTTCAGACGCGCACCCCAACTTTGCGCTTGTCAGACGAGCTCGGTGACGAGGGACCTTCAGTATACAGTGAACTGCAGTCAGGTTAGATGTTGTCGGGCCACATGTCAGTAAAAACAAATTTTCCTGTCCTGTCAGCCATTATACTGTGCTCGTAGCACGTGCTCTTTAATTGCACGCACAAATGGGGCAGCACGCTGTAATGTATCATTTCATATTAAAGCGCAAAAGAAACTACGAGCATGCAATGTCGTCAGTTAAGTTATGAAGTTACTAAAAAGGCAATTAATGCTGCCTTAAAACTGTGCATGTAAGTATTTGTTATATATGAGTCACATTTAAGAACATGTCTCTGAAATGCAGTGGTTTTCAAAACTGTACTGGAGCACAGCACTGTCTCCCTCATTTAACACACCCGGTTCAACTCGTCAGCTAGTAGAGACTTTAACCCTGAAGTGGGTCAGAAAAGGTAAAGAGTTGTGAGAAAATATCATGTTCAGCAGTAGCAGCGGCAGCTCTTAAAGCAGCCAAAATAACCTAATATCCCAGCTGCTGTGATGTCTGTTAATCAAAGAACAAAAGAAAAAAGAGGAAATCAATAACTTTTGTAGCATTTAAGGATTCAACTATATTTATTTTAGAATTTAGTGTTTGATAACTTTGTTCAATTTCTGTATATTTACTACTTGCAGAAGGGCAGAGGTAAATATGAAATTTATTATAATGGTTTATGTGGAGATTGTTTTAAGTTCACTTAAATTAAAAGTAATTTTTTAAAGTCTAATAAATGTTAAAATTGATAGCTCTCAATTATATTGTAATGTTGAATAGCTATAGCAATTATTAAATATTAGGGGGAAAAATCAAGGAGACATCAGTAGTATTGGTATCAGTGATACTCGCCTTCAGTCATAAAAAGATGCCATTAAACAAATATTTAAAATATACTGTATTAATATTTTTTCGACATTCATTTGAAGATTGAATGTGAAATTGCAATATAAAAGTATATTTAAACACTTTAATGTTAGTTGGGATTAATCGCGATTCATTTCAGGAAAAAAATTGCGATTAATTAGTAATTTTTTTTTTAAATCGATTGACAGCTCTGTTTATAATTCATATTTTTTATGTTCAAATATTTACATGAAATTATATTAAATCTTAAATAAAACTAATTAAAAATTAAATATCAATAATAATAATAATAATTTTTTTACATATTACACACGTATATGTATATACAGTATATATACACACACACAATTTCATGATTTCCATCCTTCTATTTTGACTGCTAAAAGTTTATAGCACCTGAAAAAAAAACACTCACATACCCTGAGATGTCTCACAAACACTGAAAGTATAATTAAAACACCAGTGCTGTGTACCTCAGTCTGAGCGATGCCACTCTCTACTTGGGTGATCTGTGCCTGTACAGAATCCTGATTGGCGAAGACATAGTTCATCTCCTTGGTGATCTTCTCCTGTGATTTCACAACATGGAGAATTGACATGAAACTGCACAGATACACAAAGGTTGAGGATCTAGACACAGTATTTATTAAATGGGTTATCCACAAACGTAATCCAAAAACAGGCAAAGGTCATAACACGGGCAATGCAAACAATGACAGTTCAGGGCTGAGGCCAACAGAGTAATCCAGATAAACAGGCAGAACATCAATCCTAAGGAGCGGTTTCCAGACGTTCCTAAACAAGAAAAGACTTCAGTCCAGGAGGGAGGTGGAGCGGAGGCGGAACAGGGGGAGGGATGGAGGGCCAGGCCCATGGACAGGAAGAGGAACTGGAGCCGGAAGAGCAGGAGGCCACCAGGGCAGAGCCGGCAGAGCAGGAGGCCACCAGGGTAGAGCCAGCGGAGCTGAAGACCACCAGGGCAGAGCAAAAGGAGCGGAACAACCTCCTTGGCAGTGACAGGGCAGACAAGGGATTCAGGGACGGCAGAGACAGTCTCCTTGGCCATGACAGGGCAGGCAGAGAGTTCAGGGACGGTCCTCTTGGCCGTGACAGGACAGGCAGGGAACTCACATGCTGGCAACAAAGGACTGAGCTTTGGGGCTTGAGTGAACTATGGAGTGGATCCTCTTGGCCGTGACAGGACAGGCAGGGAACTCACATGCTGGCAACAAAGGACTGAGCTTTGGGGCTTGAGTGAGCTCTGGAGTGGATTCATGGACTGGAGCGGCCTCTGGAGTGGATTCAAGGACTGGAGCGGACACTGCCGTCTCAGAAGTGTGTATAGCCCAGACACACTAGATGGTGACCATCATGACTGGAAGGGCAGTGGAAAGTGGGAGAACCTCTGAGATCGCTGGGCTTGAGAGCTGTGAGGTCACCGGGATGCCTGCCACTCGCACTGACATCATAGGTGGGTCCGCCACACTGGACATCAGTCTCGGTTGCCAAGGCACTGCCTTACTAGCTTCAAGTGCAATGTTCATGACGGACGGGAACACTGGAGTGGCAGCCATGATGGCTGGAGAGTCTGGCGTGGCGGCCATCTTGTGGAGAGGCTCTGGGCTGGCGGCCATCTTGTGGAGAGACTCTGGGCTGGCGGCCATCTTGTGAAGAAGCTCTGGACTGGTGTCCATCTTGTGGACTGGCTCTGGTGTAGCAGCCACGTTGTGAAGAGGCTCTGGTGCGGCAGCCATGTTGTGAACTGGCTCTGGTGTGGGAACTAATGGTCTAAAACAGTGGTCGCCAACCCGTCAATCGCGATCGACTGGTAGATCTTTATCACTGTCCCAGTAGATCATCAGGAATCTGCACAGGGTGTTTATTTTGAAATTGACAGGATTTTTTTTAATTTTATTTTGTATTTACTGTGCGGCGCCCGTCAAAAATAGGCTAGGTGCCCATCTTTAGTGAAGCGGTGTGGAGGGACGCTTCTGAAACATGCCGCTGCATGGCTGGTGTAAACACAAGCGAATGACAAGGATAAAAGTTGCTGTATATAGTCGTCTAACATACATCCTCAATTATCTTGTATCTATATTTCACGTACCATTTCTGGCCTCCTGGCAAGGATATAGTGATGTAAAATACATTCAGGAATCTGCACAGGGTGTTTATTTTGAAATTGACAGGATTTTTTTAAATTTTATTTTACATTTCTAAACATTTCTTTTGCCATTAATTGGAATAATGCACTGAGATTTTTGTATGCACAAGGAGTCTTACAACAGCCAGTGCTCCACACAGAGATCTGATCTCACCATCATCCAGTCTGTCTGGAATGACATGAAGAAACAG